AACCACCCAACCTACAATTCATTCTCTTGAAAATGCTGGCATTCTCCTCTGTGAAGAACTCTTAGCTTCACATAAAAACATCCAATGGATCTCTGAATCAGGCTAAGAGGTGGAAGCTTTGATAGAGTCATCAAAGTACCAACAATTACATGATTTACACTGCACATAGTTATTTAAGATCTAGGAATTGAGGCTTAAAGTTCTTGACTTCTATAATTTATGAATTTTTTTAAGGGCTCAAAGAATTGTTTTCTTTTTCTTGAGCTTCAACTGCAAAAAAAATACACTGTAATTGTCACAAAATCTTCTGACTGTAACAAAATAAAGTCAGGCATCTGGATCAGCTGTTTTGCAACATCTCCCTTCAAAGCCAAATTGAAAAACAATTTATCTAATTATTAAGTAAGAAACCTGCAATACCGGTGAACTAGAAATTAAGAGAGTGATATGATGACAGTGACAGATTTTCTTTTCTTTACAAAAGCTCACACTTAAGGTTGCATTACTAAGTATTTGTGTATATAAGGGAAAATGATAGTCCAACTGGGTTTTTTTCCCACAGATGAGACATCTTTAAGGCATTTTAAAATCACTTGTAAGTTCAGTGCAAGTTTTCATTCAATGCTAGGACAGCACAACATTATTCCCATTTTACAGCTAATGCAAATTACAGGTCACCACAGCTACAAACTAAGTGAAGTAACTGTAAATAGCAAGTTTATTACTCAGTAGAAACACGTAATTTTCCTTGCTGACTTTCGCATTCATATAATAGCACATTATAACATTACAGATGCATTGTTTCTTTTCCACTACAATCACCTGAATTGTTATTAGAAATAATAATAGAAGTGCAGAAGAGTCAGCCACAACACAGCACTCTGGTGGTGTGGAAGGTCGGTGTGATACCAGCACCTTCACTGCTCTGCCCATAATTTTACTTTCTACATTTTTGCTTCAAGACTGCAAGAGGAAAACAGCACGGAGTGCCAAAGAGTGCCAGTTATGAAATGTATTTGTGCTACAGACAGATGGTCATTGGCATGACACTGATGTCATACTTTCCCCTCACGGAGTAGAAGGCTAATGCAAATTCTCCAGAAATCAGACACTGCCACACCATAACAATTGCTATGGCCAGGAATGACGTGAAGCAAACATTACTATCGTTACTATGGGACTGTGCTCTTCACTGACCATTTCTACATAAGCATCAGAGATATGAAGGTAACCTTACACTGAATGCTAAACATCAACAACTGCTATGGCCCTGACTTTCAGAAATACCAGAACTCCCATGAGCCTTATGTGCTTATTTACTTGCTGCTGTTAATAAACATTGCAAATACTTCTACAGCTTTCAGACGTGTTTACTTACATACTGCCAATTATGTTTCTAATCAAGTTGTTGCATCATATGTAGCAATAACCTATAGGACCAAGACTGCATTTTTTTATACAGAATTACCTACTCCAAGCTTCTTCATTCAAGCCAGAATTGTCAACACCCGTCTGGCCTACACACATCTTTTATTGTTGCTAACTTACAATCAGTTACCAGTTCAAGAAGCCCTTGTGTTTTGATCAGCACTAACTAAGTACAACCACTGCTTTTAACATTGTGTGATTAAGATCTGCTCAGAACAAAACAAAACAACTTGCTACGGAAAGACAGTAGTGATCCCTTCAGATGAGGGCTCAAAACTTTTAATGCCAGTTTCAGTGAGTGCAGGATGGCAGCAAACAAAATACAACAGTAAAGGAAGCAGTAAAAAAAGATTAAAAAAATCCCCAAGGACAACAAAGAAAGGGCCTGGTATCAGTACACAGCTGAAAGTTATCTGCTACAGCATACAATTAGTAATTTAAAATTTACCAAATTCATAAGAGACTCAAAAATTTCTGAACGTCCTTCTGCCACTTTTCCTTCTGAAATTACACCCTAATTTAGCACATTCTCAGGTGCTTCCCCTTCTGAAGACAGTTCACTCTGCAGAAACTGGAAGACTCTAGGTATAGGTAGTTTTTGTAAGCTGCTGCCCTACAGCAGCAGTGATTAATCACCAATCATCTACGACCAGTCCAGCTGCTCCCCAGTGCCTCACCAACATCTTGGTTCTGGGAGAGCAGTTCTGTGACAGTGACAGCGAGCCACGCCACCTGTACACGATACTGCAGCCACACACTGGGACTGTCCCTCGATACACTCCAAAAGCTGAAACTGCGTTTACTCCTGAGCGACCACGCCATGCAAAGGGAGAGGAGTTTTAAACGAAACAGCGATGAAGAGCACGCTATTTACACTTTAGAAGTCTCTTCGCAGCAAGAGGGAGGAGACCTTTCAGATCCCACATCTCAGCGTGCTGTCCCAGTCGCAGAGCGCGGTGGCAGCCGGACAGCCGACTCTGACCCCGCTGGGCCCGTCCCGCGCCCCCGGCGCACACCGCTCCCGTCCCGCCGCTCCGCCGGGGGAGCCGCGGGCAGCGCAGGGCGCTGCGGCCAGCCTGGCCCCCGGCTCGGCTCTCCCGCTGTGCCCGCGGTCCCCCCTCACCCGTGCCGCCCCTCCCGGCTCCGCTGTCCCCGCTCACCTGCGCCGCCCCTCCCGGCCCGGCTGTCCCCGCAGTGCCCCCTCACCTGTGCCGCCCCTCCCGGCCCTGCTGTCCCCGCAGTGCCCCCTCACCTGTGCCGCCCCTCCCGGCCCGGCTCTCC